TGGAAGATCGAAGCTGGTGGGCTGGTGGCAGCTGGAGTCCCCACTCTGTAATGCTGGGGGGCTTTTAGTTATTTGGTCATTCTGACAGAAAAGGCCTTAAAGAGTTGGTGAAAGAGATGTTTTACTTTTGCTGTGTCAAAACAAGGAATCGGGTTTAGCTCTAAAGCACTAGATGTTTTAATTAAAAATGAGTTTGAATCATTTTGTTTAGCTCGGTTTAAAGATCGATAGTCACTAATTATGCCATTCATATATTTTCTTTTTCAAAGCTAAGCGATTGCATCATTGTTGAAACTGTCATCATTATGTGCATCATTAAGCGACCATGTCATATGTAGGAAAAGCAAAGGTGTCTGTGTAAAATGAAGGATGGCTGAATTCCATATAGCTGACTCAGTTTCAGACGTTTTGACATAAACAGAAGGAAAGCCACAAGTATAAATGATTAATTAAAGGGAAAATTAACAACATTTTATGTGAATGTCAAATCAGTGTTCCTCAGTGCGTGCTATATTGACCGAGAAAGTTGAGTTCTCCTGCTCGCAGAGCCGTGCCGGTAGTGCCTACATGTGACTTACCAGGATGCATTGTGTGCAAGCTTCTGACCCTCACTGAGGAAACTAAATTAGCTGCTGGGTGCTAATTGGATTTGTCAGCCAAATTAATTTGGACCATTTATTTTTCCCAGAAAAGTTATATCGTTATATCTTCAAGCTCCAAGGTGAGTTAGCCTGTAGTTCTTCCTTGAGTCAAATTCCAGTGCTGGGGTCAAGATCAAGGTCATATTATTGGGGCAAAACATTTAAAAGTGTGGGCTCACTTTGCTAAATTTAGTGAAAATGCCACTAAATGCAATAACTTGGGGAGCAATTTAACTTATTTCTGCAAAACAACTTATGGTAGACATGTTTCCTGATGGTAAATGTATATTTGTGTCCTCTGTCCTCTTTCACACTTTAGGATGGTTTGGAGAAAGACAGCTCCTGAGCTCCAACAGAAAAACACATATAGATGTACAGTATTTCATCATACACATCCTCTACATTTTATGTGATTCACGTTTCACTTGATCTGGAGGCCACAGAATAGCAAACATAGCACGGGAGCCGCTGGCTCATCACGTACATCATCACTTCCAATCACGTGGACTTAAAGACGGGCGCCTTTCTGCCAAAATAAACATCTAGTTTCATCAGCGTTGTAACTGTAGCTCCACTCAGCTGCAGGGCTCTCAGCAGTCACTCAGTGGGATGATTTTGTGTGGCTGGTGAGAATATGAGGGGTGTGGATCTAAAATGGAAGACATCCTGATTATGGCAGTGGCAGATAAAGTGTTGACAAGTGTTACTCAGCTTCGATTAATAAGTCATGCTCTCTTTGGGCTTAAGAGAGGAGGGGTATGAATAACTAACCATTCCGATACTTTTACACTTTAACAGCAGCTGTTAATGTACAGCAGTAATGTTATTTAACCTCTCAGTCACAGACCATGTCTAATAATTTTTCTATTAAATGAAATTCAGACATAAAATCTAATAAAGCCCACTGTAAGCCTAAATATTCATCTCAGCTCTTTCCAATTATCCCTGAGTCAGTTGTGTTAAAACAAGCTTAACGTAAAACGTGGATCTTCAACAGATAAGCACGTGATTTGTATCTGCTTTCTAATCTAATTGAGTTGTTAGGATCTGAATGTCATTGTGTTGAATGAGGGTGGGGAGTTGGGTGCGTGTCAAATGTTCACCGGTGGGTTTGTTATTTTAACATTGTGACATTATCGTAATGAGCCAGTAAAGGTTGGTATGTGTGATGTGCACAACTGATGATGGAGACAAAGTTTAGATATCCTGCCAGGGCTGCTCTGCCCCCTTGTGATAGAAAACTCAACACTTCAAGAGCCAAATATCTGTGCAAGAAACTTTGTCTTTAATTTATAGGACTTTTCTTACGTTTCACTTTAGAAATAAAAGTTTTGTTTTGCCCTCAGCCTTCCATTTCAACTTCACATCTCAAAATCTCAGTTGAGAATAAAAAAAGAACAGGTTTGCATTTTACTGCTCCCCTTTACGGTGTAGGAATAAAGTTTAGACATGTGGAGGCGCTATGGAACAAGGAACAACTGAATGAATCTGCATCAGTGTACCTCTCCCTACTGAACTGTTAAATGGATGAATAATGGGAGACATTAGGGAAATGAGAGATTAGGGCTATGAGAGCTGTATGTTATGAGCTGGATCCAGACTCATTTTGGTGTGTAGTAGGTGAGGAGTCATATATCAGGATATGATTCAGTGAATTAATCAAGTTTTTCCTGCTGACACAAGATGCCTCCTTCACTGTAAAGTCCAAACTTTTTGTGATGTAATAAATCATGCTCATAGGAATCCTTATGATAGATAGATAAACTATCATAATAAAAACTGACTTATAAAAGAGGAAAATATACAAAAAATGACAAAAAACATCAATTCACACAGTCAAAAGCTGTATTGTCTAAATTATTCTGTTTCTCACTAATGTGTTAATGTTTGTGTTTTTTATTTATCACAGACTTAATTTTTCATTTTGCATTATAAAATAAATTTTATCATTTTATGATTCAGTGCATTTTTCCTCCAAACATTGATCTTATCGGAATATGTCTTTTTAATTCCCAAATAGGATTGACTCATTTTTACCAAGTTCTAAATAAATATAACCTGTTCACATGTTGTCAATGAGTCACTGTCACTAGCTACAAGCTCCACGTTTACTCATCCAACACTCATCTTTTCAGGAAACATGTAGCGCCAATCAATCCTACCATAATATACTACAATGTATTTCAGCTCAAATGTCACTGACAACAAATACGAAAACAAGCAACCAAGATCCCACTCTGGCTAAATAGAATTTCTCTCTGATAATAATAAGTTCAAAAGTCTTATTGAAACCTTCTGTACACATTTTATCTGGACATCTTGACATCTAGTTTCTTTTTTTAGATATGACATCAGTGTACAAGTATAGCAAAAATGACTTTTTGTATTGATTTATTGTATTTGTGTTATATAACAATACTGCTTCATGGATATTACTCTGTATGGTGTAAAATAATAGATTATAGAGTGCGTTAATTTTGTATTCTAGTTTTACTTCCCCTTATGTGTACTATCTATTTCATTTGTATTTCATGCACTTCTTCAATTTTCCTGTGTGGGAACAATAAAGTTGATCTTATCTTAATTGAATATATTATAACGTTGGTGGAAGAATCTCGTTAAGACCGAGCTGTCTTGTGTGGGCTAATATTTATGTCAGGTGTTACACAATTTGGGAAATAACATAATGTGAGTTTTAAAGGTCATTCTTGAGCCACACTGAGGCCCATTTAGTACGTAAATGAATATATTTTACAGTGTAAGTTAAATATAATCCAATGATGTTGGGTTTTTTTTGCATGTGTTTGTTGTGTAGAATGACAACATTTCTGCCACTTTATGTGAATGGCAGACACTCTTCAGTAGATAAATAGTCTGTAAATAAATGATTTTTATTAAGCACTGCTAAATGAATCATTGAATACATGAATGGAAGCATATGTTGACTCAAAGAGAGGCGGGTTGACCTTTCTGAGTTCACAAACAATCACTTGTATTTAAAACAAAAATAAGTCAGAAAAGGATAAACATGGAACAAAAAAGCAAACTTCCAGTTGTCATCAGTGAGGGGCGGTAAAGTCCCCCGGACTCGGTCCCTGTTCCTCTGGCGTTGTCCTGTACTAGTCCCGGCATTGGTGACGTCACCAACGGGACCGGCGATCAAGCTGAGCGAGGACAGAAAGGATCACACCGGAAACTGAGTGATGTTCCTCCAAAATTAAAGTTTCTTTTCGCTCCAATAACTGTTGAATGGAACAAGTACCAGGGAAAGTAAATTACACAGTACAGAGAAAATACACAGATAATAACATCAATTAAGTAATAAATGAGAAAGTTAAGTGATACATGAATAAAAAAAATAGGGTTAGTAAATACATTGAGCAACATTATTGGCAGTAATTACAGCTTTAGTGCAAGATTTATTGGTCTTTAAATACTGTTAACATTCTTCATGCAAAACAAAAAAAGGCATTTGACCACCATTGCCAGCTGCAACACTGAAATACTGTTTATACTTGAATGCGTCTGTAATAATAATCCAATAATATAATTTATAATGATACAACTCTAAAAGGGCCATTCTTGCTGACTCAATAACATCTTTTAGATCAAACCTTAAACCTTTAATTAGGCTAATGTTAGCCCAAACGTCTTATTTTACTATGTTTTGTGTGTTTAATTTTTTTATTTTGTTGTTTGCTGTTTTTTGTGGTATGGATTTGTTTTGATTTACTTTTTCCTTTGCAAAACACTTTGTGACATTGTTTTCAAAGGTGTTATGTAAGTAAAGTTAAATATTATTATTATTATTCTTCTGCCTGCATAATTAGTGCTTTTTTTTAGTTAGTAAAAAAAAAAAAGGTTTTAATTTGTAAGTTTTCACATAACATAACTTTTGTTGCATAAGAATCACAATCAAGTGTAGAAAAATATAAATGAATAAAAAGATTTTAAAAATAGAGACAATAATAAAAGGAGCTACTATATACAAACATAAAGAGTGAGAGAATATGTACAAAATGTCTGGATACTTAAATAAAGGAGTAAAGAGCTGAACAGAAATGTGCATATAGTGGGACATATAATGAAGAAGTGTATTAATGTAATTCATATACACAGAGTGGGTTTAAGAGTCAGTTATATACCTTCATACAGGTAATTTACTTTACAGACATTAGGTATTTGTGAATACTGCTTCCACCACTATGCCGACTTCTGGTGACACAGTGTTTTTTTTTTTTTATTACAGCTGTTGAAGCAGTCAGTGTAAAAACACAACAGAAATCTTTTCCCAAATGCTCTTTTATTTTGAAATATGAGAACGGAAGCCGGCTGTTCACCGGGACCGGGCTTGATGCGAGTGATCGATGTGGAGGCAGTCCGCCAGCCTGCGACAGAAAAACAAGCGAGGATAGGACGAGCAGTACATGGTCAGCCCATGTTTTAAAAAAAGAAAGAATAATTGTGAAACCGGAGGATATATGAGGATTTAATGGTTATTTCTGTGGCTTTTACGTGCGGTTAGTCACTTATTGTTTGGGTGCGGGGGGTCTTTATTGTGGAGAGTGTCGCTGTTGCCCATTCTCACTGGAGTGAACACTAAGGTAAGCCTCCTGGAACCGCAGATGAACTGTGTAAGTTGGTGCACTTGGACGGGCTACTTTATCCGCCCGAGCGCTGCTGGAAAATGTCTCTTTTTTTGTTGAATGTATTCACGAAAGGTTTCCTCTCAAACTGTCCTAAAAGTTGGTGTAAAAAAAACGAAGCCCTCTCCTCTCACTTTGTGGATTTGTCGCTGGGTCTTTGTCCACTCAGATGTGCTTTAACTAGACATGGTGCTAGGACCTCGGTGTGCCTTTTGCGTTTGTTCTTGTTGCCATTAAATATCTCGCTGTGTGTGGGGCTCAATGTTTCACTCTTACAACTTAAAGCAGGTAGTTTAAATGTGTCCCCTCACCCGGTTTCTGTAACATTTACACGGGGCCACTTCATAAAGGCCTGTAAGCGAAAGGGCTACTACAGCGATACACAAGCAGGTCTGTTCCTCCCAAGACATCTGTATTGTTTGACTTATTTTCTACATTGCTCTCCTTTTTATGTTCTTATTTTAATAAACACATCTGGTCATGTGTCCATTAGCAGAGGGCCTGTTAGACTTTGTGTTTGAAGACGCAGTCGCTTACACAATGAACCACATTGCCAAAACACCACAGATTGGCGACTGGTGCCACATGCCGAGCTTGTCAATGTTTCTAGTGGCTCTTCGTGGTAACTACAGCACATATCCTCCCCATCACTGCTGGAGTAGTTGCACATGGAAGTGTCCGATAAATGTTCTATTTAATTGGTTCAACATGGCGGGAAGAAAGGTCGTGTTTTGTGTGTGTGTGTGTGTGTGTGTTGTTAGTGTAATGACTCAGGTTGCTTTAAGGTGCAGGTACACTCTCATGGCACACCTTTTCTGCAGACACGCCTTCTGTTAAGGGAACCATGGTAACCGGAGTGTAGGACAAGGTTCGCTCAGCAATGGCAGGTATGTGGAGGGCAGGTGCAATAATACACTGCTGGGCCTGTAGTGCAGAAACTTCCTCTTATTACGTCATTAGTGAAGAACTTTAAATGCTCATTTCATTTTCAGCATTGTTGAAACCAGACTAAAGCTAGAAGGTTTTTTTTTTAGGTGTGTCCATGATGCGATTTGGCTTTCGATGCAGTTTGCGATTTAAAACTTTTTTTTTTTTTTCCAGCTTTGACGACTTTACCATTGTTGGACTCAAATCTTGTTAACAGATCAACAGCGCTCTGGAAACTGTCATTTACAATTTAAACATCTGCTGTAATACATAATTGATACTGAAAGGCTGCGTGTTGATGTCACAGAAGGTAAATAAAAAGGTCCCTGTTCATGCAGTGTTACTCATGTATCCTATGGATAAATATCAGCAGCTGAAACCGTGAGATAACCGTAGAGATGGCGGACAGCGACGGTCCATCAAAGAACCGCGATACTTCTCTGACTCACGTTCAGAGATAGCGCTGCTGCTGCAGGTTACCGGGAACCTACACTACGTCCTGTTTGAAGCACAAGTCGGTGGAGAAAAAAAATATTGGGAGAATCGTCTTCCTGCTTTTGATTTCGATAATCGAAATTAAAAGATCATTTAGAATCACAATCGTGAGTTACTGTGCACTGAATGAGAAGGAACGCAGAGCGAGAGGTTTTTATTAGACAGCCCCTGATATCAGTTGTGGAAAGTAACTACATTACATTTACTTAATTACTGTACATTATTTGAGTATTTATACTCCACTGTATTTCCTTGATAAACCCTGATTAGTCGGCAGAACATAAATCTGAAACAGTGCAAAAACAGTAATCTCGTTCCAGCTGACAGTAAACATGTATTGTATGTGAATATATGGGTTGGACCAAATAAGCTTTAAGACAACAGGCTATAACTGGGCTGGGTAATTTTTGACATTTCATACACCAAACAATTGACCTATTAATCAGAAGTGCATAAGTAGATTAATCAATAATGAAAATAATGACTAGCTGCAGCCCTTCCCTCTTCTGTATTTATTTTCCTTCACAATAAGGTTTGGCCTTATGTAAGGTATTTATCAAGAGGTCGAGGCTCGGCACACATTGCCCTTCAAGTCTCCTGAAAGTGGAGCTCCATTCATCCATTTACTACTGCTTGTAAATATAAAAATATAAATACATGTGAAAGCATGAATCACTCTCTTGTTCTTGAAATAAAACACACAAGAGAAGATGATTAACAGTTGACAGTTAACAGTTGAATTGTACAAAAACACTCAACCTATAGTTGTTGTATGTCTGTTAGGCTGCGTCTGCTCCTGGAAGCTTTTTGAAAATTGCCCTCAGTTAATTGATGATAAGTCGTTTAATTGTTATCTAAAAGTAAAAGTAAAAGTAAGGCAATTCCAGCAGTTCAGTAGAGCTGAAACGATTTATATTATCAACTCACAGCAGAAAATAATAGGCAGCTATTTTAATTAATCTTAAAATAATTTATTTATTTTTTCTCTTTAATCGCTTTGTGAATTGAACATTTTGTGGTTTTGGACTGTTAATTAAGACATTTTAAAACATCTCACCTTTGGGTTTAGGAACTTGTGATTTTTTTACACTATTTTTCTGACTTTTACTGAGAAAATAACTTTAACGATTAATTAATAGTAAAGTAATCTTAAATTAAATTTTTATTTAAGTTAATGTGTGTTTGGCAAACAGCTTACAAAGGTGTCAGAGAATGAACTGAAGGCTTGTGGGTTGAACCTTCCCCCGCTCTCCAGATGAGTTGGTTTAGACTCAACCATAGAGTCATTGAGATTTCCTCCCCCGGCCTCAGAGATTAAAATTAACCTACAGGAAGTCGATGTTAAACCAGCGATAAACTGTTATGGTATTTTTTTTTTATGACATAATGGAAAATAGTCAAACAACACATTTAATGAAGTTAATGATAAATATATCTATCATTCAATTTTTCTACAGTAAGTGTGTGTAAGTGATTTTAACCGCCTACATGTAATGATTAACAACATATCCAGGCTGATAACAAAGAACAAACAGTGGTGTTAATGCTTGACTTTCATTATTTACACCATGCAGCCACATTTTCAGTGGTCCAGTTTGTTTGATGTATGAACTATTGACCGACGACCACACAGAAGCAGATTCCAGGTAAATAAAATGTAATGATATTTCCATATTCTTCAAGTTCACAGGGTTAGGGTGGTGATGTTGGTGTCACGTGCACAGACAGATAGACAATGTGGTATTAGAGACTTGGGCTTGGTGTTGGTTGGTAGATGACAGAGTGAAGCTTTAAAACTGAACGTGACATTCACCGTTCATCATTTTAAACACATTCCTGTTTGTTTACCCTAATGTTGCCCTATTTCCATTTTTGGTGTTTGTTTGCTTCGGTTTTGGTTTTGACTGACATTGCTTGAATAACAAGCTGAGTTGTGTCTCTTTTATTGGTTGGCTCCTTAAGTCAAACACTTGTTATTTGAGCCACATCTTTACAGATGAGATAATAAGCCCAATCCTCTTCCGTCTCTTTATTTGATTGCACATTTATGAGCTGAGACTAATTACTCTGCTCATCTTCACATGCCGTAAGTGATTAAATGTCTCACAGTGCCTACACAATGTTTTGTTCATCTATTGTTTTGAGTAGGAGGTGGTGGAAAAATACTACGTTATTAACAAGAATCATAAGCTTTTTTTAGTACTATCTTGTGCAATGTGAACTTACTAGTTTATGTAGAAGATACTAGGGAAGTACTAACTAGTCTAGCATATTTGGAGTGCACATAATGCAGTAGAATAATTATAAATTCAATAGACTGTTATAATTTAAGTATAAAAAATTCATACTTTAATAATGTAATTGGTAGTTAAATAATTTAAGTTGGTAATTTCAAGACCAGGAAATGTCTTATTTGAATGAGCACGCTTTGAGGAAAGGGTTTTAAAGGTGATTGCGTCATCCTTTTAAATTTTATGACCCACACTAAATGGAGTATATCTAGGAAAGTGAACTCAAAATAGATTTATACGTCACGTTAAAACTTAATTACAGTGTGGTGTTTTAGACTGTAGACTAGTAAAGGTTTTTTACATTTATAGTCCACTTAATCACTTTATCATATCATCTGAATATTTTTATTTCTGTCTTTACATCCCAAACAAAATAACACAACTTTTTATTTATCTATGGTAAGCCGCCTCTCTTATGTTTATGGGGGAAAATGTTGTAGTTAGTTTGAAGTTTTTGGAGTATCTCCAGTAGTCCTCCAGGAAACTGCAGTGCAGCAGGAGCAACCATGCAGGGAATAAAGATCATTGTCAAAATTGGTATTTTGGCTTTGTGGAAAGAGTAATGTTTGCCTCCCACAGGAAATCCTGATCTCTGTACGAGAGGAGAAGGAATTAATAAGTGCGGGAACAGATGGGCCGTCAGGGGACATTAAAGTCCATTTAATGTTCAGTCCAACTGCTTCAGACATTTGTGACCTCAAATGCAGCTCCTCCAGTAATGTCATAAGTTCAGAGTTGCAGCGCATGTGTGAAAGACACTATAGAGCCATCACAAAGAGCATTTTGTTGGTAGTGAGATAAAGGTCATCCCATTGTCATTGTAATTATCTGTAATCTGTGGAATGGCCAGCCATTAAACCTGACAGTACATACACTTATGACAATAGACCTGCTTTCTATGACCCCGTGATCTTGGATGAGAAAGAGGATTTGTGCTACTACTAAGCAGAAGGCACACAGTGACCACTGAACAGTATGTGTGTCCTTTATACTTTATTTGTTTGTATTCTGTTTTCAGAATTTATAACTGCATGGGATTACTGATTATTTCCTACACACCACATCGCTGCAGCACAACAATGTATCTTCTAATTGTTAGGATTATTAGCCATGTGAAGCTCCTCATGTCGTTGTCAGTCAAGACTGCCTATTGGGATGGATTGCTGCCATAAGCACAACCATAAGGTCGTGTTAGAAGTTGTTTGATAGAGTGCCATAAAATTTGGAACAGATTCCTATGGTGCCCAAAAGGGTAAATCCTAATGATTTTGGTGA